ATGACGCGTTTTACGCCTATACGGGGTCCAAAGCCGTCCAGGTGGATTCACGCACCGCGCGAGCGCGTGTCACTTGAAGCCGCGCGACGCGAGGATTTTTCGTCTCATCTGGCGATTCGCAAGGCCACGTCGCGCGGGCCCGCACAAAGGGAACCGTCTCTCCCGTGCGTCGCGTCGGTCCCGCCCTTCTCTCAATCGCGAGTCAATTCTCGGCCAAAATCTTTTATTAAGGGGACCCTCATTAAAGAAAGACCCTCGTTAAAATTAAAAGCGGCCAGGCCTCTCAGGGACACCCTGTATGTTATTTGTTCGCGATACTTTTCCTTTCCCGCGGTAACCGCGTCGATCGAACTCTTAGACGAGTCCCCGGCGAATTTTAAATAAACGGTGGCGCAAATTCGGGATCACCTCGGCGGGACCCGCGAGCGCGCGCGGCGGAATTGTCGGAAATCGCGGATCGGCGAGCGGGCGCGTTGACGGGGCCCCCCAGGACCGAGAGAGATAAAGGGACAAAGGAGAAGAGAGAGAGAGAACGCTTGCGTAATCGTGGTCGGCACATATGTGTGCCGATCGCCCGCGGCGAGCCGAGACCTTGCCGGCGTGCATGAGAACTGGGCCGCGGTGCGTCGGGGTCTTGCCCGCGTCGTGTACCAGGCCCAGCGGGCCCAAGCCGAGGGACTTAGATGGGCCCGTCGCGGAACCGTGTAGTTTAACTCCGCGAGATGCGTCTGTCCGCGAAAAAACGCGTAAAAGGATAATGCATCTACATCACTCCGGGATAATAACTGGCCAATGTATCCGGAAATTTCTGTTAAATCGACATCTCGTTGTACGGTCTTACCCATTAATGTCTGGACCTCAATTTTACTACACGGAGAAAATGTGCTTTTAAAATTTACTCCGAAAATCATGTAATCGTGTGACAACGAGGCATTTTGAAGGATTTTATGAGTTTTTTTTAAATTTTACTATACATTTTATGTATGGTAAGATTTTATATGATTTAACTTACCAAGAGAGAATGGAACAACCGCGCCTTAAAAATGTTCGGGAATTCAAGAAAGAATTTTGAATTCTCGGTGCTATCTGGGTAGAAACTTTTATCGAGTCGGCATTTTAATGCACACCTCGTAACATATTATTTGCAACAAGATAATCGATTATTGCATGCGTATCTCACATCGAATGCCACAATCGTGTTTGGACGACGTTATTATTAATGCAGGGTGTTTACGTCAATATCAGGTGGAAGTTTACGAGCAATTTGCAAAGTGAGTTCACAGGTGGGCTCGCAAGCGATTTGTGTGTGCAAATTGTGCATATGAATTAGATCGGTTCGCGTTCGCCTACAACGCGGCCACCACCTGCTATCGATTAGCAACCGCACGCAATACCGCTGTAAATCAAGTATCGACTGCCCTGGATGCATCACGTTTATGCCGCCGGCTCGAAGGATCGTCAGGACACCCCGCAAAAATACACGTGTGACTATAGCGGAACCTGTAATTACACTTTTGTTCATTTCCCCGCTCGACTGCGTCCAGCTATTTCTTACACCGATAGAAAAGAATAGTTGCAGCTACCACAATCTCCCTATAATTTATAGTCATTTTAGGAGTCAACCAGATTTTTATCATTCTTCCAACTACGTAAGTTATGGTTGACCTAACAATGTATTATAGTTTTCATAGATACAATATTGGTCCATGCAACTTACGATATGGTTGTCATAAACCAAAACGAGCTTTTAATTTGGTAAGATGTACTATAAATATTGCAATAACAACCACAAGTAAAATTTCGAATAACTATACATATGTAATTCACTTTGCACTCGTAAAGAATAGTACAAGAAAGCATCTTTCAAAGAAAGGATAAGTAATCTTATAGAAATATATAAACTTAGCCGTATTTAGTATAATACCCTATGCGGTTTTCTTCTTACGAGAAAGTCTTATACCGCGCGTCCCTCTAGTGAGGACATTCCAAACTTCACTTCACTTTACCTCTGTAAAGTTGGCACCTCATGTCTCACAAAATCTTTCAAAAAGATAGAATAGGTCGCTTCTCGGCTCTCTGAGCTAAGATCGAAGTAATCGCTTCTCGGCTCTGTTAGCTAAGATAGAATATGTCGCTTCTCGGCTCTCTGAGCTAAGATGGAATCA